ATTGTTAAGGCATGTCCATATAGAAGGAAATTTTCTAAACACCAATTAAACAACAATTAGCAGCTAGTAGCTATATGTTTAAATCATACATAAAAATCATATTAGTCAAATGAGAGACAGCGTATTTAGTTTGAGTTGATCACCATACTCAGAAAAAACTTTCATTATAAATAATCATTAAATTAACATTTTAATAATATGTTATGCAATAAGTTTGATAAATGGCATTGTAATAAATCAAATCTTCTCTACAATTTAGCTAATCAAAATATAACATTTTATATTTGAAAATATTTGTATTTAATTTTCGTTAAATCGTTACCATTTTTTTTTTATTTTACGTTTTTCCTGTGAGTGTTCTCGAACGCTTGAACGGTACATAATTTGGTATTGTAGAGTAAGGAAAAAAAAAAAACTTAAGTGTGAACAGAACCTTCAAAAACCCAGTGCAGCGCAACCTTTTAATACTGATATTCCTGTGCAAATATATTACTCAGTCATGCAAATCTTTGACGTAATAGAAACGTAAAAATGCCTTATTGTAGTTAAAAGTAAATAGTTTTCTATAAGCAAATATCTCCATTTCGTTTGCTAAAAGCTTTTACAGAAGCGACAGGAGACAAAAAACTTCTCTTGTAGTTGTTCGCAACGTAATTCATATTCTTCGCGTTTCCGAAGTGATCTAGGAAAATGTAAATTAAACTTCTTGAATTGTTGAGAAAAAACACCAACTAAATTGTTTGCCTAAAGGGCATCATCGTAGTTGCTAATTAACAATTAATTAAATTAAAAACGTGGAAAAATTTTGGGCTCAGGCTATTTCTTGGTAGAGTCATAACGGAAATTGCGATAATTTTTGCTAATAATACTTTAAGAAAATATTGGCGAAACGTCCGAACCCAAACTTTGAACCTAATTGAGGAATTGTAAGAGGCCATATTGTGAGGTTATACGTTGCGAAAATGTCTGCAAATGTATCGATCATAAATGAAAGTTATAGCGCATATAGCACCAAGAGCAATTTCTGTATACTTGCAATGTAATAAGTTAATACTTTTGAAAACTTATTTGATTCAATTACTTTGCAACAAACCAAATTTATTGTAACAAAATTTACCACATTAACGAAAGATTTAGTAAAAATCACAACAAAGGAATGATGCAACAGCACTATAATAATTATTTCTATGAAATATATATTTTGACAACAATTCAAGAGATTTCTGTTTATTATACATATTTATATTGTTTGTATTTTTAAAACGTGTGTGCTTTCCCATCATCCTGCAAATACAGGATGTCCATCTACAAACTAACACATTTTAACTGCTGATAAGAATGATGTCGATGTGACACACTACCAAACGTATAGGATCAAGTGTAAAACAATTCATAAATTCGCTGTGATATGTGATATTAGACTACTCAAGGAAAATAGATCTGTAAACTGATCTAAGTTGCATTAGCAAATTTGTAATAAGAGTAGAAATAGCCGGTAAAACAAAGCTGCAAAAAAGTAGTAACATTGATAGTATGCTTTTCGGATTTGTTTTAATTATATCTAACCTTGACCCTACAGAGAATTGTACCGATTGTGTCGCCTGCTATATTTGCGTTGTAGAGAAATTGTTTTTAATGTTAATTTAAGTTTAATCTTAGATTTAAGTACATTAAATGCATTTTTAGTGAAATGCCATAAACAAGCACGTTACTGATTACAGTTTACGTTTATTTTATTTAGTGTCCCTATTTTGTTGCTTTTTAAAAAATAAATGTTATTATTATTATTTTATTATTAACTGCTTATTGGACCTTTAAATATTATTCGAGTTTTTACACTAATTTTCTGTAAAAAAAAAGTAGAAATCTCTGCAATTGTTTGATGCTCCTTTAAATATTATTCGGGTTTTTACACTAATTTCTATAAAAATGTAGACACTGCGAGATTAATAATCTCTACAACTGTTTGTTGCTCCTTCAATTATTATTATGGTTTTTACACTGATTTCCATAAAAATGTAGAAATTGCGAAATTAATATTCTCTACAGCTTTTTGTTGTTCTTTTAAATATTATTCTGGTTTTTACACTAATTTCTATAAAAATGTAGAACCTGCGAGATTAATAATCTCTACAACTGTTTGTTGTTCCTTTAATTATTATTATGGTTTTAACATTAATTTCTATAAAAATGTTGAACCTGCGAGATTATAATCTCTACAACTGTTTGTTGGCCCTTTAATTATTATTATGGTTTTTACACTAATTTCCATGAAACTGTAGAAATTGCGAGATTAATAATCTCTACAGCTTTTTGTTGCTCCTTTAAATATTTTTCTGGTTTTTACACTAATTTCTATAAAAATGTAGAACCTGCGAGATTAATAATCTCTACAACTGTTTGTTGCTCCTTTAATTATTATTATGGTTTTAACATTAATTTCTATAAAAATATAGAACCTGCGAGATTAATAATATCTACAACTGTTTGTTGGTTCTTTAATTATTATTATGGTTTTAACATTAATTTCTATAAAAATGTAGAAACTGCGAGATTAATATCTCTCCAGCACTTTGTTGCACCTTTAAATATTATTAGGGTTTTTACACTAATTTCTATAAAAATGTAGAACCTGCGAGATTATTAATTTCTACAACTGTTTGTTGCTCCTTTAAATATTATTCTGGTTTTTATACTAATTTCTATAAAAATGTAGCACCTGCGAGATTAATAATCTCTACAACTGTTTGTTGATCCTTTAATTATTATTATGGTTTTAACATTAATTTCTAAAAAAATGTAGAACCTGCGAGATTAATAATCTCTACAGCACTTTGTTGCACCTTTAAATATTATTAGGGTTTTTAAACTAATTTCTCTACAATTTTTTAACAAAAACTTATAAAATCTTTTTTAACCAAACATCCCTTTTTTTGATGTTGGCTTCCCATGTGCCCAGCATTATCAGCATAGGTAATGCCTCCACGTATGAGAGAAGACCACTTCCCTCCCCTCTTACGCAAATCATGGAAATATCTTTTAACAAGCGTGCAAATCATAAAACCGTCAGAATCGTCATCACCACAGACCAAATGAAATAAACGCGGAGCGCGCAAAAAGCGACCGGTTTTTGACTTTTATTTGGGGGAGCGTTTTAATAGAAAACCGGTATGAATATTTATGAGTTTTATATACAAACTCCAAATGTGACGACGGGTTTGTTTTGCGAAAAATTTCCGAAAGGAAAAAGCAAGGTTCAAGAGAAAACAAAGAATATTTCGAAATTAAAAACGAACTCCGTTCGGTGGTAGGGGGATTACTCAATTTTTGGCGCACCATTATTTGGACGCTAAATGGGTTTCGGTTAGTTAGTTGAATTTTTAATACGCGAAAATAAGCAGAAGGGATGAAGCGCCCTATAATTGCCGAAACCACTTCCTCAGTTGAAGTATGGCGTTCGAGTCAAGCGCATTACAGCTGTTTGTTCCGACATTGTGGATATTAAGTAATTAAAGTGTGGAATGTAGAGATTATAAATATTGCAGTTTCTACATTTTTTTATAGAAATTACTGTAAAAACCCGAATAATATTTTCAAGAGCAACAAATAATTGTAGAGACTTAGCAGTTTCTACATTTGCATAGAAATTAGTCTAAAAACCCGAATAATATTTAAAAACGCAACATTGTAGAGATTATTAATTTCGCAGTTTCTGCATTTTTTATAGAAATTAGTGTAAAAGCCGCAATAATATTTTATGTATTTTGTAAAACGCAGTAACAATATACTAATTAAAATAAACCTTCATCAAACCTGAAGCATCAATAAAATGTTTGTTTGTGGCATTTCGCTAAATATGCATTTAATTTACTTAAAACTAAGATTCAACTTAAATTAACATAAAAAACAATTTCTAGTTTGACATACAACCAAAGGTAATATATCAAGTGGACAATAAAAACAGAACCATAGAAAAAAAAAGCGTTAAAATGTTGGTATTTTTCTACACTTATTTTCACCATCCTTGTTTGGGATGATTGATAGTGGTGAGAAAAGGTAATAAAATTAGCAATGCTTTGAAGTGTCCAATTCATGCTTTCCACCATCCCAAAATGGTTGGTGGTTAATTAAATTGAGGTGGCTTTTTCTTGATGAAAATCCATTTAACAAAATAAATAGGAAGTAAAGGTATAGATTTTCACGACATCATATAAGTTGTTATTTGTATTCCGTTGTCTGTACTCGTGTCTTCGTTCTTTCTTCATCCATTTCGTCTGGCCTTGGATCTGGGCTTTCCATGCAGCGGGCCATCTGTTGTAGGTTTTTAATTTTATAAACTTTGGAAAAACCTTATTTTAGAGACGCGTTGTTGAAACAATTGTCATGTAAATATATATAATTTCGTGAAAATCTGACCTTTTAGTTCTTATTTATTTTATTGTGTCTTTGTTATCCAAAAATAAAACCAGCCACTAAGAGTTATAGAATATAGTTTGTCAAAAATACATGTTCTTAACCTCTTCACCTGTTTTTGGTCCAAATAATTTGGCCACTAACTCATTGCCACTATGGTTTACGTTATGAACTGAATATACATCGAATAAAGAATCACTATACTAACCAAACCAAAACAAATATAACATCATAGATGTATGCTGAGAAGAAAAGAACTCTTGGCAAACAATTTTGGTATCAACTTTGTCGTACTTTTACTAATTAGATCCTTATAAATCATCTCCGATTAGAATAAATAATCATTGCTAGAGGCCAGCAGTAGGTTCAATCCTGTTTAATTCTTTTCTAAAAGCCCTCAAAATTCACTTTAAGTCTTCGCGGGTCCACCACATTTTTCGGAGAACCTCGAGAATATAATGTTATTTCAAGCGATATTATGCTATGCATATAGACACAGCCGCATCATATCGCGTATCCATCTCTTATTAAACTCACATTAAACTCCGAACAAAGTTCAACGCACTGACTGCTTGTTATTGTTCCAGGTCTCAGGAAAGTTTACCCCTATTACTTTACTTTTACAACTTTCACGAAAGGCCGTTGGGTAGGGGAACGCATCTTGGATGTATTCGCCAGAGAGTTCAGGGCACATCCCGCAGAAGAATACGAAAGGTGTATACGAGCGGGAACGCTCACCGTAAACTACGATAAAGTTCCTACGGACTACAGGTTGAAGCATAACGACTTACTCGCCAACGTTGTTCACAGGTTCGTGATAATTTTGTTAACAAACCAGTGTTTTTTTTTTCCTAGATGTTCCGTAGAGATCGATTCTTTCGGAGATGAGTCTCCGGAATTCAGCTTAGTTGCTCCGAACTAATATTTACTTAATGTTTTTGGGAAACAAACGGCTCGCGCCATGATGAAAAGCTTTTAAAGCAAATATGAAAAATTGAGTCAGCTTTATTCAATATTACAGTCCAAGAAGTTTCTAAAAGTTCGCAATATCTTAAGTCGATCAAATCTTGTTTATTACCAACAATTTTTAATGAAATATCTGGCCTTTCACAATCGTCAAAATTTAAACGGAAAATATTGAACAAAAGGAACACCCTGTATAGCCTTTCGTCAAATTTTGCAGATGGGACCGACCCAAACAAACAGGGAAATAAAAACACCGCGGAGTCTTCGATATTGCCAATTTAAAAGAGCTCTAGGGGCCCAATATTGTTGATACTCTGCAAAACAACAAAATCGGATATATTGCAAAATCAAAATGTTTCAGATGTTCTATTAATAATGTTGTGCGAATCAAAAAACAAATTTCTGCGATTTAGAGAACGATCAAATACGTCGATATTGCAAAATAATGAACTACTTGAATAGGATACGGTAATAAAAATGGTTGGACGAGCCTGTTGTTTCCTGCAAAATGAACCAACAAGCTGTTATGTTTCAAAATGTCGATATTTGTGATATGCGCAATAATTTAAAAAAATGTGGTTCGTAACCGTCTTTTATAGTGGTACAAATTTTAATAAATTTTTAAAGTAGTTGAAAAGGGTTTCAGATGATCGAATGCAGATCGTTTCAATTCGATTTTGTTCATTTCTCATCATTAATACGAACTACTTGCCTATACCATTTCCGCTAATTTCTAGGGTAAATAGATGACAAATTGTTTTTGCCCGATTAATTAAAAATGAAAATAAATTTTATTTGGGTGCATGGTCGCACCACTACATTAATTTTTTTGAGTGGAAAACCATTGAGCACAAATGTACCAGAGTAAAATGATGCTGCCGGAACAAATTGTACAACACAATAGACCTGAGTTTTGCTTGTTCGATAAAGACATTAACGCACTCACATCGATAGATGTCAGTAGAAGGAATCACAATACCATCAGTTAAGGGCCAATAATCCATTAAAACAGATAAAATAACGTACTTGGGCTGCAGCCGGAACAAGAAATGGGATCAAATGGCGTATAGAAAAAGCCAGTGTTTTTAACCGCCTCACGAAAGTCAGGGAACATGCACCTGAATATTACTATGAGAACACAGGTCCTAAGATGTTAGGTATTCTCCACTCTCCTATACGGAGTGGAAGCCTGGAGGTTGACAGATGCTACATCTAAGCTCCCATTCATAAGTATACATAATGTAAAAGTGAAGAAGATGGCGTACCTTGAGCATGTGATGCATAATGAGAAATATCAATTTATCCAACTAATCTTGCATGGCAAAACAGATGATCGAAGAGGTCACGAGCGACGCGAACATCGTGGCTGAAAAATATCAGTGGGGAGATCTTCAGATATCAAAATTACAGATTCCCAACATATGGATTTGGATGTAGTTCGGGTCCACATTGATAGATGGCAGAACAAACCAAATTACAGATTCCTTACTAACGAAATGGCTTAGTTTTATCATTTAACGCATGATAGCGTAAACCAAACCGCAAACCTCAAACGAAATATCATTTATCGCATGATAGCGTAAACCAAACCTCCAACCTCAAACGAAACCAATTGAAAAATACCTCTGTTGAATGAGTTACGAAAAATATAAATTGTCATTAAAATCCGTACAATATCTTTTATACGGGCCACTGGAGAAATTTCTCAAACGACACTTGATGTCCTAAACTTCCTGCAGATTCCGGGAAAATCAATAAAATAAAATTTACAATTGTAGCTCGGCTCAAAGCAAAACATAAATTATACAAAGGCAACAAATAATTTAGCAAACAGCTTAAAATAGGATCTTAAATATTATTCTATTCTGTTGAGAAAATCTAAATAATTTTTTTACACTTACATAATTTAAATTTTCAATATTACAATTCCGCAAGTTGCCTCAAATGTTATTTTGATGTGCAAAACACAACTATTCTAGCAGCCTATAATATTTTGTTTACCCTACAAATTAGCGGAACGTTTTCTACAACATCCTGCAACGAGAGCATTTTTTTTATTTCGAATTTTCCTCTACAATCTAGAGAATGTTGGTCAAAAATCAAGTCCTTCACATTTTTAATCGATAATTTAGCGATATTTCACTTGAAGGTGTCTACGGGACACGCCACGGTCAGCGAAATTTCGTTCCATTCATCCTCTAGCTTTTTATTATGGTCCCTATTGTGTTACGCAGATGAATAATTCAACAACTTTTACCTCTCAGATTCCGGACGTTTAATCTTCCGCGGCCAAAGTTATTCATTTAGGTTAACCGTCAACTGGAAGGCATTATAGTAGTTAAACAAAGGGACCGGCGATTCTCCGAGGGACTTGAAATCCGTTCAAACGAGCGACAATCCCGTTGGTGCGTGGATTTTTAAAGAAACCAACTATTAAATATGCAAATTTTATGTATGAAAGTCTAATTCTAATCTTTAAAGCTTTATAAGGCCTCAAACGTCGTGTATCTGTTAAAAAAAAGAAGTATTACAGGGTGTGCGATAAATCTTGAGCTCATTTTAAGAAAAAACTTATGGACGTACGTCGTAAACGAAGTGACTTTTGATATATGAAGGTGGCAAAGTTTTTAATATGTGCTGTCCGAATGAAACACCACACACCACAAGTGCATTTATTTTTTTCCTAAATTAACTAAAATTAAAACTAACCAAAATTATTCCGATTCTAACCAATAATTTCTTGCTAAATTTTGTAGTAGTTTTTTGTTGCAACTGAAGAATATTTAAAATTAATTTTTAATATATATACTATACTAATTTTCAGTTGAGTTTAATGTTTTTTTTAATCTTTTCTACTCATATTTCTCAAAATAAGTGGTTGGAAGTGGTTGGATACCTTGAAAACGTATTTTGCAAACTTGCGAACGAGCTAAAAAAGAAACACAGCAATACGTGTGGTTTCCTTTCAGCAAAATCTCCTTCGTTTTCGTAAATTACGTTTTTTTTTTTAATTTAAGAAAAAATCTCTAGAGGTGGCGCAACGCTATGTTTCAAAATGAGCTCAAGAATTATTCCATTCAGTATTGACTCACCAAGTAACAAACTGTATTTAAAGCGTCATTTTTCTCGTAGAAGTGGAAAAGTGGTTATAGAAACATGTTTTTCAGAATGTATTTATCATAGACTAACAATTGTTATAGTAGATGTACGATAAACGAAGACAGCAAAATTCGAATAATGAGACTACATATACAAATGCTTCTTTTGAGAGATAGATCACATTACATTTGGAGTTTATCTGGAATGAACTTCAATAACATTACCCGCGTATCATCTCTCCAATGTATGTTCAATGTTTCATAAATTTTCCTTGATTTCTCTTGTGTAATAAAAGTTAAATGACACCCTTACCCGTAAAACCCTGCCATAAATTAGCTACCTCATAACCCTCAATTGTGTAGGCACGAGAGATCTTTTAATACACTTCCGAATGGATACAGGTTCGGATCTTGAATTTTCGGACTTGGCATATGCTTATGAAAAACCGTAAAATTATATTCAATATTCAACCAAATATTCAGTTGCTGTGTCTATGCTAAAATTAATTTTAAGAAATTTCAAGTTTAATCAAATAAAAGTTAAGGACATCTTCTACTCTACCTCTTATCTGTGGGTTTTCAAATTGGGTACTTTGATAAATTCACACTGGCCGAACGGCTCGGTTTTATGGGTAGCTCGGCCTATATTGAATTTAAGTAATCCTGACTTGCTATAACTTGTATTCGGTCGGATTCCATTAACACTTGCCGTTTAATGTCGTATAGCCTTTTCCAATACTACTAAATGAACCGATGTCACCCAATGGGTCTGGTCGTATATTTTGACCTCAATGTAGGAACTTTAGTTAAAACACACATTGTGGACGAAATCGAATTTTCATTTGGGGTACGCGGGGATTACAATTCCCTTCATATTAATTGATAAATGTTTTGTTTGTTTTATTAAATCTGGTAACAGGTTGAAAAAGTTACGGAAACTAAAAACACAGTCTGATGAACACATACAAATGAAAACTCTAAAACTCCTTATTTCCTCTGAAGAATAAAACAAATAAAATAGTAATAAATAATATATAAAATTTAAAAAAATCTGGTATAGTATATAGTATAGAGACTTATTTGTGGATGATGACATGTTACACGTAGGACCGTTTTGAAAATTGGTAGTTAGCATAAATGAATTTCTGTTTTCTTCTTCCTCACATAATCTCCATAATACCTATGTTTAGCGGCTTTGGAAAAAATATTTTATTTTTCATTTAGTACCACAGTAGTCAAAGATCAAAGATCAAAACTTGATGCTACTTTTTAAACCAGCATTTTTAGAAATCGAAAGTAACGATCATGTCGAATCCCTTTGAAATAATAGAAATTGATGTCTTCGTTTGTGGGTTTACCTATGGCATCTTGTTGGTTCATTAAATCGTTTCGTAAGCGAACCTTTTAGGCGTACTAAAAAGTGTATGTTGCAGACACGAAGTGCCAGTCACTAGTCAAGCGATCACCATTGTACATATGGATGAGGACATTGTGGTGGTCAACAAACCCGCTTCTATCCCTGTAAGTGGCTAAGAGACTGCCATCACAAGTACATTTATCTTCTTAGAATAATATTAGTTCTTCGTTTGTGTGTGTCTGCATATATGTCTGCTCTTTACCATAAAATTATTACACAGTTTGGAGCTTTAGCAAAGCGGGTTAGTTTTGGTTGACGTAGCTACCAATAACAAGTAGAGCGATAAGGAGGAGTATTGTCCAGTTGGGGTTCGAAATTACGACGTCAGCTTTGGGGTTTTTGAATTGCCCATACTATAGGTGCCTCGTATATTGAAACCGCGTTCCCATCCACCCGATTCAAATTAATTAACCCGATGTCGTAGTAAATTTAGTTTAATTTGTTATACCCCGATTAACACGTAGCGACCACGTAACACTTAGACGTTAAAGCGATGATACTATCGAGGGACTTGGATCGACTCCCTAAACATTCGTTCTCTTTTGTGGATTCCTTGCAGACACGAGACTCCCGTTTTATCGAACGCGATCAAGTTAATACATCTAGACGAAGATATTGTCGTGTTGGATAAACCTTGTTCGCTGCCGGTGAGTAAGCTCGGCCGAATGGTCCGGATCAGCTTTCACAGATAACCGTGATGGGCACGTGTACATAATTCCGAACATGCAAAAAAGCCAAAGGCTATTGGTTCGTGAATCATCCTTTGTCTATGTTGGTTTTGTAAGTCATAGCTTACGCCTTCGCAAGCGCACTGCATAACGTGCGCGAAAGTCCCATTTTGGTACTATATTTTTATGTAACTAACACCAATTTTACACTATTTTCTTTATTGCACGACAATCCCGGTACATCCTATATCAGCCTTCGTGTTCTTTCTAATCTGGTGTTCTTTGTCAGATCATCGGATTGTGAAACAGCTTAATTCGATGTTTCTAAAGGTGAAATCGGAATTACCTCGGAAAATCCAGTTTCCTCATTTTTGTTGTCATGTTGATGTTTTGAATGTAACGTAATAACTGCGAGTTTAAAAATTTGTGTAAATATCGGCCCAAAATTTCATTCCATCATGGGAATTGCGTTTAGCGCGGATATGTATGTATATCGTTTACAAATCCTTGATAAATCTTAGTATATATCAAATAGATCCCCGTGGTTCATCAGTCACCATATATAAAATAAAATAAAATAAATTAATTTTAATTCGCGGTATGGAGTATGGGACGTTAGAGGTGAGGTCATAAATATTTATAAAATATTATAACACGTTGCTATCAATAAACAAAAGTCTCAACTATAAAAATTGGGGATAAAAAATACGAATGTGGGCAACAATCTTCCCACCATCATGTGGGAACATTTTTTATTATTTTTAAATTAACTAATTAGTCAATTATTCTTTTTAATTAAAGGTCATTTACACTGTATTATAAATAAATCAACTAAATCTTATTTGGTTTTCGGATGTTAAATCCATACTAAACTTTGCATCAACTTTGAAGATTTTTGTGGTGGAGTGAGTAGTAGTTTGATTCCAGTTTCTTCAAAACTTTATTTGTTACTTCTGATGCACAAACTATCCCCAAAGTTAACCAAAACTCATTAGGCTCTATTTAACGAACTAAAACTTAGTCTTCAGGGATGGGTAACATAGGGGAGGCGTGGGAAAAATTTGCCCCAAATTTGTTGTTTGTTGAGTTTTCGTAATTTGGACTGCAGAAGTTTTAAAGATACCCTTGTCTCACCTGACATTTAATGTTTATTTACCAAGCAATACAAACAAATGAAACCCGTCATGAACTGCCAAGGCTTACTAATAATTATTGGCATCTCGATTGTAACATTAAAATTTAAAAAAATTGTAATTAAATTTTCAAAAGCATTTTTGCCAAAAAAAACGGTCTGGTCCAGCGAGGTTCAACAAAGAAACCTTATTTAGGTAGAAAAGATTTTCAAATTCTGCAGTCCAAATTGCGAAAATTCAACAAACAAAAAATTTGGGGCAAATTTTTCCCACGCCTCCCCTGTGTTACCCACCACCACTGAAGACAATCCAATACTAAGTTTTAGTTCGTTAAATGCAGCCTAAAAAGTTTAATAACCGTACCAAATTTTATTTACAAATATTTACGTGTTTCGAAAATATTTACAAAAAATTGCGATCACCTCTTCAAATTTAACACCCTGTATGTTAAAAACTAAGACGTTTTGGACCCTAGTTTATATGAACTTTTATCCTTATCTTGGGTCACAGAATACGTGGTTAGAATATTGAGGTCAAATTTATTACTTCCAGGACTCAGTGTATAGCGTGAAATGAAACTAAATCTAAATCTACTTATATCACTCTGGTATATTTCGGGGATAGTACTTCCTGCCTCTGTTGTTCTCTTTATTCATAGCGGCGCTTTTTATATGCTGATGACCAAGTTGAGTAAACTAAAAAAACTAAAAAATGATATAGCTTTTGATTATAAATTCTGGGATCTTGAAATAACTATAGGCATTAAACTAAGTTTTGAAATTCATATTGAAAACAACGAAAAATGAAATTTGGGTTTTCAATTTAGGGGTTAGAAAAGAATTTCGTACTGATCGTACTCTATAACAGCCACATGCCGACCCATCCTGGGTTTGCCAGTGTGATATGGGGTCACCAATATCTCAAATATGTAAACAGAATTAAAAACATTCAAAAAAAGTTTATTTTTCACATGAACTTTAGATATAACCGCAGTCTAACAGGTTTTCTTAGTTCTAGTAGTTTACATAGCATTTTTTTGCATAATATTGTTAATAGTAGGCTGTGCAAAACTGTTAGAGAAATTATCTTTTAATGCTAGGGTGGAAGCGACGAGAACTCACAACTCACCAATATGTCTTTTGCAAAGAATTTATAAAATACTTATTTTTGCTTGCTAAACTAAATTTGATTTATTTCTACTATTAAAAAGAAACACGTGTTGAGGTAGACGTTGGATCGCGCTACTAGTTTTATAAAATTTTCTTTCCCGAACAAAGTTCTACTGATTTTTTTCAGCATCATAAACTGTATTTAGTACTTTTGATTTTTCCAAGGCAATAACGGAAGTTCGTTGGCAATTTTTCTTTTTTTTTTAGGAACAATTTACTTCTAGTTTTTTTTTTTGGTATTAAAAAGCTAATATCACTAGCACCAGTTCAACTCAACATGATTAATTCAAGATTGCGTCGTGAAGGACCAATCATTTGCCGTTTTTGAATTTTTTTTTATTTTAATTACATTAAGTATAACTAAGATTCGGCTTTGCATTTGTATTTGTGCTGGGAAATTGTTTATGTGCAGTTTGCCTCGCAAAATTATATAAACTCGGGTACACTGTAAATTAATTTAATTAATCCGTCGATGTAATTTTCCATGCATTTATAACTTCCGCGAATTAAATCTCGCTTACTGTTATACTTGTAATCTGTTAGTGGAGAAACTGTTAAGGTAATTAATGCACACACCAACATGTGCTCAAACCTACTAAATTGTCACACGTTAAAACGACTGGCGCTCCAAGTTAATCCGCTACGTGGATTCCCCTTAGGTTTTAACACGTGTGCAAATGAATTAGCTGTTTGCACGTTAACTCAAGATAACATTAGGCCGCATTAAAGTCTAAGAACTATCGTTTCGGCGCTGCAAATTGTTTCATTGGGGTTCGTGCGGACACACACTGCGGTATTTGGTAATGCATTTAATCAAGACTTAATAATGATTACAATAAAGTAATCACAGACAGACAAGTGAGATACATCGAGTAATCATATAAAGGAAAATATCGCCAGGTCAGAGGTGAAAAATCTCCAACGTATCCAAGCAATACAACAAATCAAATCAGGAAAAGCACCCGGCACAGACTATGTACAAATGGAAATCATAAAACTCTTAGAAAGTGACAATGTCGACTATCTAGTGAAACTTCTCAATGCCATGCACAATCTTTATTTCAATCCCGAAAAAAGCGAACGCGAATAGATGTGAACTGTGAACTATTACATTTTCACGCAGTAAATATAACGAAATATTTATAAACCATATTAGAACGCGAATAATAAAAACTATAAGGTATGGAACAAAAATATTGATAAAGATCCTAGATAGTAACATATAAAATTTACAACTTTATTTGAATGAGGGATATTTTTTTGAGTTACTGAGTTACTAATATTACATTTCTTTGGAAGGTTTAGTAAATTTTGAACTTCCGTAGTAAGTTTGGTCACCATTACGTCTATTTTGTATCGTACTTCTCACGTAATTATTGCGTCAGTTTTTAGCTATACTAAATTTTAAAAAACCGTATCGAACATAAAACATAACACAGTCATGGACATAAATGGATCTATCATAATGCAAAATAAACAAATACTATTCCGATTTGCCATTTTTGAGTATTTTTAAAATCCACTTGATGTTCTCACGGTCGATCAGTTTTGTACTGTCAAATACCCCAATATGCGACATTCGGTGTCGAGGTTACGTTATGTATCTTAATACGAATCTTTTTTATATATAGAAAAAAAAATGACTGAAATGACAAGCATGCTTCAATACTGCTTCGGAAACCTGCCGCGTTGGCGCCACCTTCGTAAGCTATATTAAGTGTTAAAATGTTTTTTTTTATTTACTCGGTTGAGAAAGGAATAAATTTATATAAATTGTTTGCACGACCGTAATGGGCTAGATGCGAGAAAGAACATCTGAACGAGAGTCCCCATAACAAATTACCGATTTACTTTGCTTTTTATTTCCGTTCCTTGCAAATGGTAATGTTAAAATTCGATTTGCATCACAAAGGTAACTATAAAAAGACGCTCCTTCGATATATTTTCTTTTGGATTTTTTGCTAAGAAATTCACTCAATTGAAACTATATAATAAATCCCTTTTTTATTATTTCAAAAGACGGCCCCCAAAAATTACCATTTACTGATCTTAGTTGGCTTATGCTGTTTTGATAACTGTATGTCCTTTAATTAAGTTTTAAAAAGTTCACGTTCACATAATTTTTTCCATTTTGATAAGTGTATTTTATAAAATTTCTCTTTAAGTGGTGGTTATTCTTTTGTAAGGAAAAGATGAATCGAGTATGTCATTTGAGCAATCAACTCGAAAGTGTTAGAAATGTCAGAATTTCTGCCTTAACCGTCAGGAGAAGAAAAAAGTCGATTGGTTAGTTAGATCATGACTCGCTATCTTCGCGGATGACTGGAAGAGAGTTTTGGCCACAGATTGAACTTAAGTGAGCTAGCCTAAAATCATAAAAAATAAATCAGACTTGGAGAAAGATTTTATGATTGCACTATCCCTCCAAACATAATCCGAGGGAGGAGGAATATATTTTGAGGCACGCACCATTTCCACACGTAACATAACGCAAGGTCCCGCATTGCAAAGACAGTTTTGGATTACTTCAATGAAAATACAGATGTTAAAGGGGCCACCACACACTCCAGATTCAAAAATTTTGGGTGTGTCCTAAAAATAATGTCATGTCATGTAGAGTTAGACCGTATTGTTCTCTTGCAACGAGAAAACATTACTTTAGCAACCACCCAAAACTTAATAAATAACAACCTCGCCCCGACGAATTGAACCATTTTATTTTTAATTTTATTTTTGTAAATTAGAAATTCTCTGATCTCCAAATGTTGTATAATTCTTCAAACTTTAATTAAATGGTTTCTGGTGCGGTGTGTTAATTTTTGAACAGGAGTGTATATCTGATTCGTATTTGCTTGACCCTCAAATCTTCAATAAATTGGTGCAACCCCACACCCGACACCAAAGTCTTGGGTCTTACAAGGCAGACAGACGCCCAGACAGAAATTACGCTATTGTTTTATAATAAAATAGAATATTTGAATGGTTTACAGTTTTTAAATATGGGCGATAAAACGTACGCAAAAAAAAAATGGTGACTGATGACGCAAAAAATATCATCCATATATCATCTTCACGTTCACGTCGCTTTAAATTTTCAGTCTGTCCGAAGGCAATGAGATAAACTCTTCTGGATATCTTCATCGAGGCAAGCATTGATTCGATGACCTGTAGATAATTTAGAAGCTTTGATACTTACAGTCGTCTCGGAAATACCTTTGGTTCTAACTCTGGATAATATTGACAACGTTGGATCTAGTAGGCATTTTATCCATTAGCTTATTTTGTGTTGTACATAATGTGACTGTAATTTAATAAGTTACTTTCGAACTTTCTTCACTCACGTCATATTTGTAGGTGCATCCGTGCGGAAGATATAGGCACAACACGGTGGTCTTCATTCTCGCCAAAGAATATAACTTGAAAAATCTCAGAACCATTCACAGACTGGACAGATTAACGAGCGGGCTCCTTTTATTCGGAAGATCGCCGAAAAAAGCTAGACAGATGGAACATCAAATTAGAAACAGGCTAGTTTCCAAGGAATACGTTTGCCGAGTGGAAGGAGAATTTCCCGAGTAAGTAAATCTGGTGCGATCTCACAACTAATATCGATATCGACATCGATTTAAGTACGGTCCAGTTGGTACGAGACTGTTTAAGATGATATTAATTGTTGTGACAATCTCTAACTCAGAACTAGCACTCATTTTCTTGCTGACAAAATAATAAGCAGTTTTTTAACATTTCTAAGTTATTTTTCGAAGAAACTTCCACAAGCTACTGTAATACTATTTACAAAACTTTACTCCTGCATCGGTAGCTACGGTGGTCATGAACACAAATGAATATCAGGAAAAGATTTAAGATATTCTTAAGGCTTCTTCTCTATCAGACTCCATGAAAAAGTCTCATGACTCTAAAATTTGTCGTCTCTACGAACTCCCTAAGATCTACAACCCAGGATTACCCCTTCGGCCTATTCTCAGCACCACTGGTTCTCCAACATATTCTCTAGCAAAATATCTAAATTCTATATTAAAACTCTTTACAGGGAAAACTTATATACTATATATACTTCTGTTTAGTTGCTACATACTAAAATCCCTATTCCTGAAACTCTGAATATCATCTCAGATATATTATAATCCGAGAATCAAACCTTCTGACCTTAATTGCAAAATGCTTGCCTGGAACATATTTTCTTATAACGGTCCAATTTTTGAACAAACGTCGGGACAGCTATGGGTTCGTCCACCTTCCATTTAAAACCAAAATGATGGGAACGCTACGTCAATGGTACTTTTGTTATTTGGGCCCATGGTCAAGAATCCCTAGTAGATTTTTTTAGAAATTTAAACTAACATACGTCTTCATTCTTAAATATCATTTTCAATAGAAAATCAGACCTAACATTTGGTCATTGTGTTTACAGAAAACCTATGCACACAGCTCGATACCCTAATGCATTGTCACATCACCATCCGACCCAAAAATCATCTGTTATCAACTTTTCTTTACAGAACCGTACTATATCAGCCCAAGTCCCGACTAAGACAAATAAACTCATCAGCAGTTGTCGAACACAATCACGAAACCTGACATACAATTTTATTCGATAAAAGTAAAATTCTTGCATGTAATCAATTCCTTCACCAACGAAAAATCCCAGAGTCTATAGAAATCTATAAACAAACTAACAATCTTAACCGCGACTCAGGTCTCTTTCTGTCACCAATATGAGAATCAGTCATCGGAGACCATGTTTATGACCCTCATTTAGCTCCGCCCCCCTCAAACAATATATAAGCAGGTACAGAGTTAAGCTGTGAAGAAGCCAGCAGGATGATTGGCGGATTTAAATTATGTTTTCTATGTTAAGTTTTGTTTTTGAATTATACGGCAAACAATAACATTTATCATTTTAAGCGCTGTGCAAGCTGTTAAATGCTTGATCGAACCCTTAAAATAACAGGAAAATTAAACGCAAACTATTTACATCCTCCTTCAGCGGCATGGTAGAGTGCAAAGAGCCAATAGAGGTAGTGAGCTACAAAATCGGAGTGTGCAAGGTGTCTCCGAAAGGAAAAGAGTGTAACACGTTCTTCCAAAAATTGGGCTACAACGGAAAAACCAGCATCGTGTTGTGTAGACCCAAAACCGGTAGGATGCATCAGATCCGAGTACATCTTCAGTACTTGGGTAAGTATTTCGTTAATATTTGAAGCGTTTTATCACTCGATTGATGCAGGTTATCCGGTCGTCAACGATCCCCTTTATAACCACGACGTCTTTGGCCCGCTAAAGGGCAAGAGTGGTGATCTGGGAGGCAAAACCGACGAGGAACTAGTCAGAGACTTAATACACATTCACAACGCGGAAAACTGGTTGGGTATGGACGGAGACAGCGAACTGTCGATGTTCAACTCGAGAAAAGCGGATTTAGACGATTCTTTAGTTGGACCTCTTGTGCCTAAGAGTAGGTGCCTGTCATACTTCTAATAACTAATTGAGTGTAGTGAGAGATATGGTGGTGTGGCAAGAGAAATAGCAAGAATCAACTGATTATAGGCAAATTAAAATATCACTTATTTTGACATATTTTTAATTAAAATAGTGTTTGTAAATACTGCAAAAGCTCGAAGTGTCTAACGTAACTCTTGGCTTGTAACTGAGTTATCGGTTTCCTGGCTTTTAAATCACTCTATATTTGTGCCTTTGTGTTGTAGTGTTGTTTTTTAAACACAAATACGATTTATAAATAACTCATTATTTTAAGCTTCCCAGTTGATAAAGTCGGGATTATACCTATTTTTAATTACATCATTTTATATTTCAAACAGCGGTGTCAACAAAGTTTTGAAAAAAATGGATATCGATGCGATATACATTTGCGTAGATTTCAATAATATTCACACGTACCCTGTAGGTGATGAAGACGCCGACCCGGTGTCACGCGAGCCTTCGCCGTGCGACGAACCCTGCGATAGCAGATCCTCACCTCCGACTTGCGAATCAACCCCCAACCCTTTGACGTTGTCGTCGTTTGCCAGCCGTAGCGGAGCAAACGACGCCAAAGTGACAGTGGCCACACAAACCGGACACGAGGCTCCGGATTTTAGTTTTAATCCCGATAAAATGACCGTCGACCAACACTGTTACGAATGTAAAGTGCGATACCGCGATCCGAAACCCCAGGACCTTGTCATGTATTTGCACGCCTGGAAATATAAAGTAAGTTTCCCAAATTTGAATCGCGTGACATTATATCACAAAGAAATAAGACAAGTCATTCATATAAATGGCCTCAACACCAAGAGCCAGTTTGCAGTCAACAAATCATCTACAACTCTCTTTTATGATTATGCCATTAATCAATTTTAAATGTGACAACAGTAAAAATTTCATCTCACTTTAGGTTAAACCGCCAGTAACTCCGGGATCCTGTTCCTCGCACTAGTACATTGCAACGCGAAAATCTTTGACAAATATGACAGCGTATCATTTCTCGTCCCTCTCTTTGATTTCAATAGTCCCAGTACATCTTTGTTAGACTGAGGGAGTAAGAGTTTATCTGTATGCCAAAAACGAAAAACTGTTTTTCTTCCTGCACTAACAATATTTTTGTATTTAGGATGGTCGGCTATCCCTCGATCACTTAAAAATATATACAGGGTGTTATTAAAATGACATCATGTAATTTAGTAAATGACTTTCGTGGTGAAAATACAATACTTGTTATTGTCCGGTATTCTGAAAAAATTCTTTAAAAATCTCGTATAAAATACAGTCGGAAAAAACATTGCATTTTTATGTTGATATTTTAAGTAAAACGAACCGGTTTGTTAGCATTTAGCAGCGCCACAAATTCGCCGATAATCCCAAGCAGGCAATAAGGTTTGTCGTTGCAAAATCAAATGTAAAAAATGTATTTTGTCTACTAATATTTCGAAAAGTTCCCGATTAATTTTTAATACGAATACTGCTAATTTTAAAAATTAAAAACTTCTAATTTCGAAAATTAAAAACTTATGGATTTTTTTCAGTATTAGTGTTACCTATACTACAAAGGAATCCTGTTAGCAAGGATATTAATTCATTATCAGTAGCTTACGCAGGAACATTTCTTACATTATATTGTGAGTAATTTCGATCAAAATAGTTGTACAATGTCGTTGATGATACCTTTTTCGTTTCATCTCCACAAACAAATTCTTTCATACATTTTAACTTTACTTATTGACGATTCGCCCTTTGGAATGTATTCGAAACTGTACTGGCTGGCATCTTACAGTATTTTTATGCCTAATACGCATTGATGATCTGCTGAGTTTATCAAACTGTATATTTTTAAATACATAACAAAAGATAATTTAATTAAGCTTTAACCATTCCCAGAATCCGCAATCGTGCTATTTGTTTACGAATTGTTATTCTTGTATTTTAATGAGAAATTATGAACAAATTTAAACTATATTTGGAATGGATATGTTACCGGAAAGATAAAAAATGTACAAATGCTATTCTGTAAACTCGCCAATTTACTGAGCGTTATGCAAAATCACTATTATTTTGCGCAAACTGCAGATTGACTACACTGTTTTAGGCAATCTGCAAAATATCTGCCACTTTTAAACAAAATTTTCGATCCGTTAGTAAATTGAACCTCTATACCAACTTACGTAACATAACAAATACTACCTAAAATTGTAGATACTACCTTTCTCCTATAATTCTATCAACTCAACAACAGAAATTAGCAAGTGTCTGATTATTTTCTGTTATTCTCTTGTTGACTTTGGTTGATAGAATGATAGGAGACAGATGAAGGAACTGCCTAGCAACATTGATTACAGTCAAACATTTAACGCCATCTAGACTTGCACTCTAGAAATATTAAACGCGTCAAATGATAGAAACACAATCCTTACAGTTCTTATTGCTTCCACAAAAATATTTCCTTCTTTCCTCTCGTCATTATGATTCACAAACTGTCCGATAAACAGAACTCAACAATAGGTACACTGTCTAGTCAATGTGGAAAATAAACACCTTCAGTTTGTAGAGTACCTAGACATTTCTCACATTCAGGATTTTTGTATATGGCCGGTAACAGATACATTAAAAAAATACTGCCGGTGGTTTGTAGAATGTGCAGCTATGGAATCTAGTAACCATCTAAAATTTTTACGACGCAGGTTGTAAAAAAAACATGGTCCGAGTGAAAGTGAAAGTTAGTTTTGTAGCTTATTTAGTGAAATTATTACATATTTGCCGGAAATATTTTTTTGGATCCTGTTTGGTCGTATTAGGTTACGAAAAATAGCTCTGTTTTATGCGCAGTGACAGAACAAAATATCGATTAGGTATCACGGTGTCAGTAAAATAACACCTCGTATATCACTTACAAATAATGTGGAACTGGCTTAATTGGAAATAATAATTAATTATGGTTAAACAAATTTGTTTTTATTCAATATGACAATTAGCTACCTGGTATAGTTAGATGAAACCCAGATCTTTATCGTTTTTTTGATCGCCACAATTCGTTTTTCTTTTTAAATGTTTTTTTTTCTTTTTCGCAGGGTCCTGGCTGGGAATTCGAGACGGAACTCCCGGAATGGGCGAAGATCGACTGGGTCGAACCCGACATATCCGAGTGATAACTGTAAAGAATCTTTCCCATTTTTCATAATGTTAAGCATCTCTTATCCGCTCTGTCTTTCCATACTCTTAGGTTACAAAAAAAAAATGGGTGTATTTTTCCCCAAAAAGGCAGGGTCCAACAAACAATCACATTTTATACATACTTTTCATTATCGTTTTACGTCGGTCAGAAGTGAGAAATTTTGATTTCCTGTAGTTTTAGATATTAGAAAAGTTAATGTAGCATTTGCGTTGTCGTTCGAAGCACATTTTACTTATTCTAATGATTTCCGTTTCGCAAAAGACAATAAAGTAGGTACGTTATGACGTCTATATAGTCGCTTGGAAACTCCTTTTGAACGACCGACGCGCTTACAGAAAAATAAACGTTTTCTTCCGTATTTCAGTGCTGCTAATCATTCTGTAGTGATTATAGGAGAAACTGTAAGAACATCAGCCAAAAGTATTTTTGTATAATGTAAAAAAAAACTCTTTAAAAAGTCTCTATCTATTTCACCGTTGTTAAAGTAAGTGCCACAGTTGTTTTGTATAGAGTGTAAAAGTATAATTTTCTTCTATAGCTTTAAAGTTGATATCGCCCTTTATCAACGTTGAAACGTTCATGATTTCTCATTAAAAAGTACTGGAATACATATTGTGCCTTGATATGTGTGTTGTGACATCTTTCGCTGGTTTTTAAGATAAACTATGTATATCCACTTTTTCATATCAGCTTCGGACCCTTGCTTAGCATAAATTTACCGTTTTATCGTTATAGTTGCTATCGTGTGACATACTTAAATTTAAAATATATATGTTGAAACTGTTTGTGAACATTCTCTAAACATTTCTGATCGTTTTAATTTATGAAGTATTGAAGTCTCACGAGTTGAACCGCGATTCTGTGATGTGTGAACTAATATGATTAAATTTTGCTGATTTTTTTTTTTTGTTCAGAATCTGAAAAATCGTAGCCGATCTAGAGCATTCCCTTCAGTCATCAGATTTTATGCTACCAATTGAATTAAAAAGACGACACGCCAAACGAACAGCGTAAAATTTATGAAAAACACAAAATAATGAGCATGGACCTCATTTGACGATATAATGGGATTTCAGATATTACGGGGAACATATAGCTGTTTCTTAACATAGTGCTTGCACTAAGCACACATTTTCGTACTTAAAAAACCCCAAAAAAAAACATGACTAGTGAGTTAGAAGTCCATTTTTTATATTTCCTACTTTTATCTATATGAGAAAGTTGACTGGTTATGATGTAAATTTTATTGCATAATAATAGTTTTACGCTGATAATAAATTCATGAAGTAAGTAAAACTAAATGTTGAAGTACAGGCCAGTTCTAAAGAAAAATAAAAATTATACTGCCTTGTCCTTACCAAATAATTGATAAAAAAGAGAATTTGAAAGATCATTTTAAACAGTTTGTAACCGATGTTTTGATAAAATAGTGAACGGCGGGAAAACGCGGATAGAGAAAATGATAAAAAATTTTCGTTTTCACTTATTTTCATTTATTTCCGCAGTTGGTGTTACTGAATTGACGCAAAACTTTGAGGTTATATTTCGCGAATAAATATTCAAAAAACTTTGACGGCATATAAAAGTGATACAACCGACAAATTTGTGAACCATCTTCATGAGTAAATTGTCAGTGTAAAAGCAGTATTAAATAATTAATATGAAATAATATAATTTCGAGATAAAAAAATTGACAAAAAATGTCTGTGTAGCGTATCAAAATATATAAGAAAACTCTGATTATATGCTTGTCTGTCAGTTGTTTACTGAATCACATATCTTAATTGTGGTTCTGTTAAAAATGCAGGAAAATTCAAGAAAAATCGCTGTTCTGTCCACTTGTCACATACTATATGCCAGCAAATATCACGTTATTTCAGTCATTGCCACTTTAATTTGTAACATCGGCTGCGACTTTTCGAAAATATGGTTCTTCAAAAAGATAATGATTTTTATTAATTTAGTTGTTCAATTCTATTCTATTCTTTTATAATTTAGCTTAAGTAAAGCACTGGCTGGGATTGTTTTTCCTAATTTATAACTGTGAATAGTGTCAAATCAAAAAATGCGAACAAATGAATCAAAACTATTTCAATCAATTCATTATACTTGATTGTGATCATTTCTTCTAACAAAAACTAAAAAAGGCATTCCCTTAATTGAAACGTTATTCTGCTGGCAGAATGTCTGTAGTTTATTTTCTACCGAGCCCTTTATTATTGGTTTATTTTTGCTGGCAAAATAAACAAGTATCCGTTTAATTTCATACAATAACGGGCTTGCTAAATAAACAGTAAGCAGTATTATTTGAAAAATGAAAGACATTAAAACATTCATTATTTTCGCACTAGTGTTAAAACTAACATACTTTATCAAAATTCTTTGTGTAAATTAAATCGTCAATAACGAAAAATCTACGGGACGCCAGTGCTTCAGTTATTAAATTTCGTTTGATTTTGGTTTTCGTAATACCTCTTAGGATTAGTGTGTTGTTTTTTAGCATGATGTATGTAAAACTTAGCAGTTATGTACATATATATATTGTGTACGATGGATGTGATTGCAATTATGGATTTGTATAAATTTAAATCAATTTTCAGAATCTAGAATATGAAAGAATTTCGGCGCTGTAATTGTGTGCTGCAAAGGCGTAAAATATCTATTTCTAATGTAAAATCCAGTAATTCAGTTACTACCAGCATGGGAAGAGAAGTTGAAGGAGTCAACTTAATGACATTTTTTAAAATAATGCATATGCTTTAGGCACTTGATAGAAATATCCAAATTTTTTAAGCTCTACCCTACATCGAAAATTTTATCAATAATTTGTAAAAATCAAAATCTTTGAATTTATTGCTTTTTTGGATGGTAACGCCCACTAACATATTTTAAGTTCTTTATTTGCTAGAAAATACGATACATCAATTTGTCTATTTGAATATGCTAGGGCTTAGAACAATTGCAGATTGTATGCTACATTTTATTTACTAGTTAATCATTTTGTTCCTTCTTCGATTTCAAGTCGAAGCAGTAAATGAATCATCGCATAAGGTGTCGATACAAAGCATATCCACCGAAAACAGTAACGACAAAATTACAATCTAATAATGAGCTTAAACTTAGCTTTTGCATTTTTTTAACGGCGATAAGATAACACGTGCATGCGCTTCCAATATTGTACTAAAACTAATATCAAAAAGTGAAAAATTAGCGCAAAAAATATTTTCGTAATTATATGAAACCCATATCTTCTTATTGGAATGTTTTTTATTTAATATAAATTTAGTCAAGTGTAACGGTTTATTTCTTCTTAAAAGACAGTATTGTGTTGTTTAGTAGTATACTCCTTTTCGATAGGATGTTAAGAAGTTTGTTTATTATATATATATATATATATATATATATATATATATATATATATATATATATATATATATATATATATATATATATATATATATATATATATATATATATATATATATATATATATATATATATATATATATATGATGACACTATATTCCGGGATATCATCCGTTCGCTCGTTGAACTCCGACTGGAATCCTGCATCCGACTGGAATCCTGCAAATCCTGCATCCGACTTGAATCCTGCAGACGTTTCGCCAAAATCTCACTTGGCATCTTCAATGCTCGCGCTCCGAGAACACTTCGAAGTGTTTTCGGAGCGCGAGCATTGAAGATGCCAAGTGAGATTTTGGCGAAACGTCTGCAGGATTCAAGTCGGATGCAGGATTTGCAGGATTCCAGTCGGAGTTCAACGAGCGAACGGATGATATCCCGGAATATAGTGTCATCATATTTTTCCATCCGTGAATCAATACGTGAGAATATATATATATATATATATATATATATATATATATATATATATATATATATATATATATATATATATATATATATATATATATATATATATATATATATATATATATATATATATATATATATATATATATATATATATATATATATATATATATATATATATATATATATATATATATATATATATATATATATATATATATATATATATATATATATATATATATATATATATATATATATATATATATATATATATATATATATATATATATATATATATATATATATATATATATATATATATATATATATATATATATATATATATATATATATATATATATATATGTATGTATGTATCGAGCGCCGGAGTGATAAGAAAAATCTACGGGCATATTTGCTGTACATACCAAAGGTCCGCGGTAATAGTTAACGTTACATTAAACATAATTTACCATTCAATAGTCAGTCAAAACAGTGCTTCTTTCTTATCATTCCGGCCTCTAAAAAAAAAATTGTTAGGAGATGAAGTTATTGCAAATATTGTTAAAAGTTCTGTTTGTAGCTTGCTGTAATCTGTGATGGTTATTATTTTTGCAGCTAAAACAATGTACTTTTAAAAAGTAATCTAGAAATGTAATTGATATGTAGTTTAGTGTGTAATGAGAATTATATAAATGATTAAATTGTTTAATCTCGAGCCTGCTCTTAATTTGTACCCTTTTGTATATCAACTGCGTGCAAATTTTGCACACCTTCCCAAGAAATGTCGTGACGTTAGAAAAATTCAAAATTTCCCCGCCGACCTTAACTTGAATTTCTGACACCGCAATAACGTCAGCAAAAATATCATGGTAAATTAATTTCTCAATAACGGGAAGGATGCCAGGAAATCATGTTTCAAAATGGTCACCAGGAAATTATCTCTCATAAACCAGTTAAATCTCACGGACAGGAAATTATTGATAAATTATGGGTGAGTTTGGAAGCAATAAAGTAGTATGCCTGATATTTCTTCTTTAAGTGCGACGGTCAGTAACTTAAAACTATTCCTTTAGACTTTATTTTAAAAATTATATCTGAACGTTTCGGTTAACATGTATCTCCAATCCTGATTAAGAGAACAATGATCAAATTCTTATCATCGCAGCACAACAAGGTTATCAGAAGGAACTGATCAACAACGGTACTTGAAACATCTCATTCAAAGGGCCAACGCAGAAGAAGAGAGGAAAGAGACAATACAATACTGTCTCTAGATCTGGCGATATACTCTACTGTGCAGTCACTATGACAAAACCTTTTGAGCAACTAACCAAAAACTGCATATTATAGAAACTCGCATTGAAGGATAAAAGAATAGTGTTCAGCGGAGCAAAACAACAAAAATCCTCTGGTGAAAAGCAATAATAGTTCATAGAGAGCGACACTGGTACGAAAGAAAGTTCAGGGGAACAGTTTTTATTCAGTGAACTGAATTCGTCTTTAAAAATCTCCATTTATTTTGCGCCTTGTGCCTTACTGTGAGTTAAAAGAAAAAATCATCTGCGTAAAGATGTTCTGTCACAAATATGGATAGTAAATAGAAGAGGTCCGAGGATCGGACCTTGCGGAACACCACATGTAATTGGCTCCGCAGATGACAGAGTATCGTTAAACTCAAATATGCTGAAGTCTGTGAGTGAGATAACTGCATAATAGATGTAGGACTCTCTTTGAAAAATCAATAAAATGTAAAATAACAAGTAACAACCCTTGCTTATTAGGATATTATTAATCGAATTGTTAGTGTTTTAGCAATCCATCAGTTGCCGTATACAAACGAATTTGGGAGCAATCGGATCTTTGCGGAAATATTACCCACAAACGTCCTAACATATATGGGTTTCGAGTTGAATTGGCAACGCTGCGGATGCGAAAATATTACGATAGATCAGGACAGACTATTGTCATATGCCAAAACCGAAAAAAATCATTTCTACTAATATTACACTTAAAACATCTTTCGTAAAACCCAATTTCAAAAATCCGACATTTATTATTAACCTTAACCTTTTACATTAAGGCGGTCACAAAATATCGTGTATGTAGTTCATATAACAACCTCATTCATCCTTTGCGTTCATATTCGCTAATGTGTGGGCAAAACATTGTTACCAGTTTTGGTTAATTGGTCAGGCTATATATTTCTTGAGATATTTCTTAAATAAAAAATACAGAGTGTCAAATTGGTGAAAAGGTCTTAATTTGTTTCATTCCTATCAAGCAATATACAAAGATTTGGAAAATCTTAAATCAATCCCTTTCAAGCATTCATTCTCAACCCAACTAAATGTTACTTAGGTTATTTGGTCCAAAAAATAGTATAGAAAACAACATAAAAATAGAGGATTGCACCTATTCCAAAAACAACCTTTAGAAAGAAGTGATCAAGCAGCCTGTCTGGAAGAAAACCTTTATTTACAGACGATAAGGAAATGCAACTTGTCAAAAGCAGTAAACTTTGGTTATGACCTAACCATAAAAATAATCAAGTATCAAAAATGCCGAGAAGAACAAACTTCCTCATAATTTCGACTGAGTAAAACAGCTAGTCGGAAAAGACTGGTACTACAATTTCATGAAAAGACGTCCCAGCATATATCTGGGAACGCCCGAGGCGACATCACTGAATCGTATCACTACGTTTAATGAAACCGACGTTAACATTTTTCATGTTAATTTGAAGGCCATACAAAACAAACTTCATATTCAGCCTAATAAAACAAAAAGACTGAAATATAAGAATAAAGCTTCAAAAAAAAAGATTAATAGTATGTTGTGCAACAAGTGCGGTAAACGACATTTGACTCGTGAGTTTATTTGATACGAGCGTAGCGCAGCGGAGCGAGTTTTTAATGAACGAGTGAGTTAATATACTATACTTTTTCTACGACCGTTAGTTTTTGGGTACATTTTCGCAAAACAACACGAATACATTCACTGACATAACTGTCAAAATTGATAAATGTCAAAATTCAAAGCGTGGGAAATATCTTGCTCCCAAATCCGTGCGGTAAAATCTCGGAAATGTCCGAAGTGTCTCGAATTCGTGGGAAACGAAACTGACGTGGTAAAGTGACGCTTCTCGCACGCTCGATCGGTGGGTAATTAGGTATTTTACAGACGGGAGTAGAAAAAAGAATATTAAAGAATTGCAACAATATTGAATACTTAAGTGACTTTAGTCAAAATAGAAAATAAAAAAGAGAGAATGAAAAAGACGAAAAGGAAAATGAAGACTATTTTTTGTAGTGATAGATATGTACATCCCCCATTGAAGACTGGGTTATGTGCTACGTGTGCAAAAAATGGGCTTTCGAGAATTGTACTGACGGACAGTCAACATCGTTAATAATGATAGTTCGTATTTACCCGTCTAATGCCGAGTAAAGCCGAACACTGAAGGTTGTTTTACTTTCGTTATATTAAAAAAGTATAAATATTGATTAGTGAATTTCTTAGACAGATAAGTAAACATAATAATTAAAAAATATCTTAGAAACTAAAGACAATGTTAGAACTTTTGGAGTTATATTTGTATTGTATTGAAGATTTCCTGAGACATTCTTCGAAATAATCCTGTCAGTCAAAGTTCTTGAGGTGCATTGCCAAGTGCTTAGTATGTATATGTAGGTAGGTATATGTATATTTGTATCTCTGTATACAGGCCGGTGCCAGTAGAGTACCGCTCTATCTGTTTCTAGAAATGTTTTGGGTCTATTTGTATTGCCATTATAATTATTATGTATATCATATAAATTTTCTGTTTTAAATTGAATTCATCAACGTCCAAGCGTCAACGGGCATACATGTATGCCGGTGTGTGAACAAAACTCCATCATTTTTTAATTAATTTTTAGATTCAGTGTTTGGCTAGAACTTTTAATATTTATATCTGATTTAAGAAGATCGATATTTCTGCATCACACATCGTTCACAATAAAATTATATGTTTGATACCCAATCATCCTGATCTGCGGCAAAGAGTACATTCGCATAGCTGTATGACACACATACAGGCCAGTTTATTTTTTTGTTTTTTGTTGGTGGGTATTTCGTTTATTTGCAAACGAATCTTTTATATTTTCGCAGGACGACGTGTTTGATGTTTTTATTTTGCGCGCGATGCTGCGTGTGTAGCAAAAACACCATCCTCCAACAAGGATGTAATAGTTTTGGCTTAATTCCAATCGATTCGCTATCGCCGGCTGTTTCCAAATTTTCAAAATCGTCTAAATTTAAACAGCGTCCAGCCGGAGCAACGCCGTGGTCTCTCTCACTCTCTCCATCTCTAATATCGATCTTTCGAACTTTTACTCGCGCTCCATCATATCAGTTCGTATCTCGTCGCTGAGAACGTTGGTTAGGGACGCACCGGTTCGCAATCTCGTTCTCACGTGTTCGCGAGTTTTTTCCAGAGTTCTAACTTTCACGCGAAATAAAAATGGCTGAATGGGTCAACGGCGTTATAAGGAGCCGACAAGAAAGCATAGACAGCTTATGTTCGTCGTCGGCCAAAACTACGACCGACGAATATTCCGACGACGACATAAAAGACGAATATGACATCGATGACTTTGCAATCATAAAAACCATAGGTAAGTTTTGGGCAATATTTGTCTAAAAAATTCGAAAAATATCGACCAATATAACATATAACACTAATACCTAAATGATTTCCCCTTTATTATGCTATGACAAATATTTAAAAAGGACAAAAGTTGATTCACGTATACTTTGCAAAATGTCATATCTATAAAGGATGTTTCTATTGATTGATTGATTATTAACAACCCTGTATATTGAGGCATTTTTAAATCTGAGCGTTTCTGTCATATTTTGTATTTTATGTCAAAAGCAATTTTTTATAGTTTTATTGTATTTAACATGTTGTCAAATAGGAGGATTGACATTTTGTTATAAACCATGTCTCGGTGATTAAGTTTTTAACATAAAAAATTTGCGATTTTGAGATTTTTAGGGCATTAAGTTTGTTGGGCTGCCCAAAATACTGCAAAATTTCATTTTTTATTTTCTGTTCACTGGAAAATAACATTATTCTTTCTGAGGTCCATAAAAAGTTTTGCGTGCATTAACTTTTTTGTTTAAAATAATATTTTGCCTCTGTAAAAATCACTTTTTGGTCAATATTTGAAAATGTGTTTGGTTTCTAAGAACTTAACAAATTTTATCAACAACATGGACAAAGAACTACCTGAAACGAATAACAGAAGAAATTAAAAATTTTAGGACTATTGGATTTAATTAATAGACCGTTTTATAAAAATTTGTGTTTAGTATGTAGTAGTATTTTCTTCATTATTTGATTTTTTTATAAAAACATTTAAAAGACACGAGATTAATAACAAGATTTACAATTTACTAATATTTCAAACTACTAAAGTAGATCTTCTTTTACAAGGAAATTAACGACAAATATATAAAAATATAATAAATATATAAAATATGTATTTAGACCTAAAACGTTAGTTTTGACATAAAATTCAAAATACGTCAGAAGCGATAAGACTTAGTATAGGATATCATCAACCGAACATTATATAAAAACAATATATAAACATGTTATATAAGAAACAAAATTATTATTATTATTATTCAATCATTATTTTTTAGTAACTTCTTCTAAGTTTATTGTTGAAAAGCAGAGTTTAAAAAACCGGAAAACGGAATAAATGGCAGAAACGATTTAATCAATGTCCAAAAGCTACAAATAATGGACGTAACATTTTAATATCTATGACACTGTCATCACATCCTATGGAGTCCATGAAACTTTAAATTTATATGAATCTACACGTCATAATGTTGCGTATTGGCAGAGGAAATTTCAGAAAATTTCTGACCCAATAAAAAGTGTGCCGCACTTAACATGTAAGTTAGTACATCAACAACTAACACGTTCTTTTTCCTCAAAGTTTGACATTTCAATCAGCTCGAATCCTCATATATTTAACCACAAGTTGTTTTTGTTTTGTTGGCGTCTGGCACTCGAAATAAAATAATATAAAAGAATACGGGATTCCTGTCTAATAGATTCCAGCGCGAGTCTTTTGGTTTTTACGTATTTAGAGGCATTTCTAGTAATTTTTTTTATAGCTCATTATGGTTTTACCAGTGATTCGTTTATCATACTCGACAAGTTTTACAAATGCATTTGTTATCAACAACTTGATAAGTCGATATTTTTCGAAATCATTTTATTCACTCGATATTTCGATATTTTCATTGCCACATAGGTTTTACCGAGGGTTTTATATTGTGCTAACAAAAACAAAATTAAGTTTAACATTACAAAATGTTGTAGGAAATTAAGAATTCAAATATTGAGAATGGAACATCCTGTATATATGAAAATCATTTTAGGTTATGCGTCCCATACACCTGTATAACTTTTTGATTTAATTTCTTTTCTATCGCGGCTTCCAAGATATCAACCCCGGAAGACCATTTTTTTTATTTCAATTTTTGATTTAACAGCTGAGAATCAAATGAATGAAAATAGTTCTAGTTAAAAAAAAATCCTTCCCGCGTTCTCACAACTACTACTCGCGAAAAATGCTATTAATTCTAGCGATAATAACATCAAATTTAATATAACTTTATTAACCCGAAATTTAATCAAAACTTGGGTTCATTATATCTATTTTTACAACAATCTTGTTTTTAATATGCGCGCACGATTATCGCAAGTGGCCTATAAAATTTATATATATTTGGGAACATCCGAGGTTAAGATAACCGAAAAAAATAAACAAGTTCGCGAATGGGTGCTCGTTGAACTGCCTATCCCGACCATCATCCTATGCGTTAAATCTCGGAAAGAGTTGCAAGGAAAATCTAGTGATAAAAAATTCGGGCGAGCTTTCGAAAACTCCGAGCTTCAATGTCGTTGGTACGATATGCACCTATTAATAATAATAATCTTAATTGTCTAACAGATTAACAACCATTTACAAGACAATTTTATGCTAGCATCAATAAACTATAACTATTTTACTATATAGCAAGGTAGTGGTAAAGGCACGTAATAACACTATATGCTCTGTGAAAAAAAATAATGTTAAATTAATGTGGTAAACCTTCTAACGCAGACGTATCACATCATATAGTTTATGCAAAAACTGAAATGTAAGGCACCTCATCTGACTTAGTAGTAAAGCAACCTTAAACGTTTCTAACAGTCTGTTTATTAATACTAGAAAAATTGAAATGAAAGGTATCTCCTACGATTTAACAGTGAAAGAGCCTGAAATATATAAAAAAAAGTCTCTAAAATGTTTGCACTTTTATGTAAATGGATTTTGTGCGGTTAGGGGATCTAGGATCTAAAATCTATTAGAAATGTTCAAAATTCTCTCTGTTAAATCGCATATCCACTACAAGCAGCTGTTCGTTGATGATAAATTCGATGTAACAGTGAGATCTTAATTTTGAATTTCTTTTTTACACCAAACTAAAATGTACCATTAAGAATTTTTTCAAGGCTTACTTAGTTTTAATAACGTCTCTCCAAATGTTGACCACGATGTTTAGTTTACTCTGTTCAGTACAACTATAATTTATATGATTAATCAATTTTTATAGAGTTTTATTTACTCTAACTGTGATAAACGGCATTTGAGGCACGAGCGGAGCGAGCAGAATTAACAAAACATCCGACTACTCTCAAACTCGTGCGGTAATGTGCCGGAAATGTCCGAAGTGGCTCGAATCCGTGAGACACGAAACTCACGTGGTAAAGGGACACGATTCTTAGTTTTAATACTTATATAATAAAACTTCCTACCCGATTACCAAAATTGAAGGACCTAATTGAAACTCTAACAAACTATTGGGTTGTTCGGAAAGTCATTTCGTTTTTTTTGGGGAACATGAAAGACAGTTTTCGTATAATGAATAAATATTTTATTAAATTATATATTGGCCATTCTGGTCCAACACCTTTTGCCATCTTTCTGGCAGTAACATAATTCCCCTCTCATAAAAGTTTTGGTCCTTGCTGGCAAAAAACTGGTTCAGGTGGTTTTTGACATCTTCATTTGAGGTAAAGGTTTTGCCATCCAAAAAATTTTGCAGGGACCAGAACAAATAGTAGTCGGAAGGCGCCAGATCTGGAGAATATGGTGGATGTTGCAGTACGTCCCATTCAAGCTGTAAAAGTTTTTGGCGAGTGACCAAACTTGTGTGAGGTCTCCCATTATCCTGGTGGAACACTACACCCTTCCTGTTGATTAATTCGGGCCTCTTCTCTTTAAGTGAATCATTCAATTTGTCCAGTTGATGACAATAGACTTCTGAATTAATCGTTGTATTGTCCGGCAAAAGCTCAAAAAAAACGATTCCTTTGACATCCCACCAAACGGAGAGCATCACCTTTTTTTGGTGAATGTTGGCTTTTGACACGCTTTGAGCCGGTTCATCTATTCTGCTCCATGACATCTTGCGTTTAACATTGTTGTATACAACCCATTTTTCGTCCCCAGTAATAATCCGCTTCAAAAATGGATCATTTTCTTGACGTTTGAGGAGCGAATCACACACGTCAACGCGACGACACAAATTTCGCTCCGTAAGGACATGGGGTACCCACACATCGAGCTTCGAGGTTAAGCACATGCCTTTCAAATGGCCATAAACAGTCGAATTCGACAAATTTAATCTCTCACCGATCTCTCGTGTGGTTATTAGCCGATTTGCATCAACTAATGCCTTTATCGCATCTTTGTCAGCTTCGACCGGCCTTCCAGACCGTGGTGCATCTTCGACATCAAAATTGCCGGATCGAAATTTTGCAAACCAGTTCTGGCACTGGCGTACTGTTTACACGCCTTCTCCATACACATCCGTCAATTTTTTTCTCGCTTGGACAGCATTTTTACCTTTTCTGAAGTAAAAAAGTAAAATATGACGAAAATGCTGCTTATTGCTCTCCATATTTAAAAGGACACCAACCAAAAACTACTGCGTAGAATTAATAGAACTTTTTCACACACAAGCCTTGCAATATCAGCTCTCAAGACATATAATGGTTATGCGGCTTAAGTGTGAAGTTGGTTTCGAAAAAACGTAATTAAGTCCTCTGACGGGAAAAAACGAAATGACTTTCCGAACAACCTTATATTTTGTATTGATTTATTTAGTAAAACTGCCAACAACCAAGTAAATGTCCTGGGCTGAATAATTAAATGAAATTGTTACGATGCTGTTAACTGTTGTTGCAATGTGGCACCTACTGCTTGGAGTGGGAAAATCAACAACTTCAAACAATCCACATTCTCTCCAAACTGACCAAAATTTGGGTTGGTAGTTAATTCAAGAAGAACGTGATTTTCAATCCATGAGCAGAAATACTTTCTAAAAGCAATTAGCAGGTTTTAAATGGGAAAAAATAGACGATTGACATTAATAGGCAGGAACGGCAGTGCTTGTTGTAGAAGGGACTACTTGCGCAATATAGAAGAAGCCACATATTTTATTTAGGTAAGACATGGATGAGTGAAAGTCTAACTAACCAAGTTTTCGCCAGATGAAAATGTTAAAAGCCGAAAACAAACTTCCTCGGAATAGGTAATGGTTC